CCTGCCCGCCTGCCTGAATTTCCATTGAGCGTGCTGAATTAATTTATCCCCAACGTTTTGCCATCGCGAGGTGAGATTGCAGAAAATGCGCCAAGACCGACGCACCAGATTGGATGTAGACTCGAAATCTCGGTGTTCAAGGTGTAGAATTAAAATTTCTCCGCAACACGACGATATTTTTCTACTAAAGTATATGGTCACATTTTGATGATTATTGCATATTATCTTGCAAATAACTGCTTTTTAAAAAGTTGGGCGAATCACGTCTCGAGAAAATAGATCGCAAAACCGACGTATCCATGATACTTGCCGGGAAATTGTCAAGGAATAAAATAAAAGCATTGAAATTATATTATTTTGTATGTTTATTATATAAATGTACCAAATAATGTGATTTCAATGCTTCTAGGACGTTTTATTGCCCAAAAGACGTGTCCACGACGTTTTACGACGTCTCATTATCGAAAGGACGTCTTCACGACGTCTTAGAGCGTCTTAATATTATCCTAGGTACTACATGATTTGGTTAAAGTAACTAAACAACTTAATCAAAACTATTCAACCAAATCTCGCCACTAAATCCTTCTTTCGGCGTAGTTCTTCGCGTATATCAGTTTTCGCGCTTCTCCCCTACGTCCACCCTTCGCGATACCCGTCGCGGTCGAGAGCGCAGGGGAGCTACCAGGTTCGCGGCTTTTTCGTCAAATGTCGACCGCTTATTCGCGGGTCGCGACGTAATGACATAATGCAGCTTACGCAAAGCGCCGTTGCGGAAAATTTTTCCAACGAGCATCGCGCGCCACCGCCGAAGTGCGTTGTACGCGCGCTGTCAACGGGGGTTTGCGCAACGGTCTTTGTTGCACATGGGCCACTTCGCTCCTTTCACTCTTAAACAGCGAGGGCACCGAAGGTTTAACGATAACATCGACGATGGCCCCCGAAGAATAGAGCTCGCATTTTGAAATCGAACGCGCGAAAGAGACCGGCTCATCCTTGCGAGACCGACTCGGCTCGTTCAACGGCCGTTCCGTCTTTTTCTACGCGGGCCGTTCCGCAAAAGCCGGTGGGCGGAATAAAGTGGCACGACGACCCAATTCGGCGAGGATCGGTTGAAATATCATCGACGTCGTCCCGTTGAAAAGGGAGCGAAGAGAGCGGCGCGCGACCATTAATCTTCTCGGCGCTCGATATCGGGCGCGCGACCGCCGTCGATACCATGATACCTCATTATCCCGAAGCGCGAGGTAGGGAGTTTCGATTCGCGATTTTTGCGGACGCGAAGCGAATCCCATTGACGAGCGACGGTGAATAGCGAGGGAGGACTTCGCTCAGTCACTCGAAAGTTACTCCGATTTGTTCGCGCCCGCCGCGGACACGCGGCGATCGCGTCGTGACCTACATCGGAAGATCCTCTTTTGGAGACCTTTCTCTTTCGATCCCCGAGATATGTAAAATAGTCGCGCCGCACGAGTCGGGTGGTACGCTCGAGCTCGCCAACGAGACACGCCGTGTAACGTCCAGCTTGCCGCGAAACAGCGTCCGAGACGACTGGTATCCACTGGCGATCGTCTATCGGATAGCGCGCAATGACGCGACCTAATTGAAAAGGAACAACGCTCCGCGTGCTCAATGAATACGATCTCTCTATCCGCACGTCTCGCCGATCTCTATCTTCTTCCGCTCTCCCCTCCCTCTCGCGCTACGGGGAGAAATTAATTGCCCGGAGAAAGGCGACTTTGAACTCGCGCGTCCTGCGCGCGAAAAGGCTAATCCGGCGTGACACGCGGAACAAAATGCTGCAGGTGTTCCGCACGCATGTTAACGCCACCGTGCGGATATTCTGGGTCTTTAAACGCTGCGTTATGCAAGCAGCGAAGTCCGGTTGCGATTAACGATAAACGAGCCGCGACCTGTTCCCGATTGTAATTCTCCCTTATCGCGCCGCTTTCACGGGGCAAACGCGACAACATTGAAATCAAGCTGATCGACGAGACAGACGACCGGGTGTTTAATCACGGGAGAAAGAGTGACTCGCGATTTGAGGGGATAGTTAGCAGAATACGAGGAGCGTTGCGAATTATCTCCACGTTTCACGGTAATATCGTCTTTTTTTCCCTCCTTCGAGATAATTGAGCCGTTACGTCGAAAAAGGTGCAGCGACTTTCTGCGTTGCGTTCGCACCGTCGTGAGCTCGGTGCTTCGGAGAGAATGTGCTCTTCCCGCTTCTTCTGCGCGGCAGTTTTGCGTTCTTACGAATGCACAAACGAGCGCGGATTATTATCGTGATCGGAATTATTCTGCCGGGGATAACCGACGAAAGTAATCGCGCCTGCAGTTTCACGGGCACAGTCATGACAAACAAACGCTTTCACGAAGACCGCGGAATATCGCACGCTGCATTTCTATCGCTCCCTTAGATGTATGTGCGTTTCATTGGCGTTTTATAGAGTAACTAAGAATTACGAGAATAAATTATCTTCAGAACGCATCTTGCGTGACAGAAAAATTCGAGACTGTCGAAATATCATGTTGGTTAAAGTAAACCGATACTTTGGAATATTAATGCAATCTAGAGATCGATTCTATACCTGAGCAACACAGAGAAAATATCGTGGCAAAAGTAACTACAAAAGTTTTCAATGCTGGAATATTCCGGAATTATTATCGAAATTATTATGTATGTAATTACTGTTCCATAATTTTTAGTAACGCTTACTATTAAAGTACATATCATCAAAGATTACAATACACGTAACAATTTCGATCGTAATTCCGGTATATTCCAGCATCACAAACTTTTGTAGTAATTTTTACTACAATATTTTCTCTGTGTGCAGCGTTACACAATTAATCAGGAAAGCGTGTCTCTCGAAAATTATTCCGCAAATGTCGAATTTTACACGAAAAACAGTTTTGTTAAAATTCGCGTTATTACATTTAGTCTTGTACAATTTTGTACTTATATTTTAGCCTATGCTATTCGCGGCGCAGTTTGTTTTTAGATTACTCGAATAATTTTAGTACAACTTATCTGGCGGTTATCGAGTTATAAATAATGTAATATATGTTATCGCGGAACTAGTAATAGTAAATCGACTTTCGCGATTTTAAAGCAGCTCCGCGAATAATGCGAGAAAAGATTCCGTCGGTGAAGTCGAGGATCTGGTCATGCGTTAGTGCGGATGTCGTGCATCACCGCGCAAGACCTTCCAAGATTGTTGCATTAATCCCCGACGTCTCTCACGTGCGTGCATGTAATATTAGTACGCGAGCATCGCTTTCACTGCTATCGGAGAGTAACCTTTCCGAACGCCTCCGGCGGCAACGTGTCCGTGAAATCTGCATTTAACTTATCACGCTTGAAATCCCTCTCGCGCCAATTTTATTTTCGCCGAAGAGCGCCAGCGTGTGATGTTGTATTGCGACACAAAAAGGAAACCCGCACAGTAGAATGTTGTAACGATAAGACTTTTAGGAATAATTTGCGTATCGCAATTTATCTTTTCGTGCTTCTAAGTCTTGCAAGCATGCTTAAGTGCTTGCAAGCGATAAGCTGATAATACTTGCCGGTTAGTGTATCATACGATGTGACATTGAACTGAAATTACTGCATATTACCTTCATGATTACTTCCTTCATGTTAGTCTTATCAATTTAATTTTGTGGAATAAGCGATTTTGCATGTTCGCGTTGTATGAAACAAAAAATATTTTGAATCTATTTTTTGTGTTTACCTTTCGTTTATACAAAATAGGGAAATTCGTGTTATTCTCTGAAAAATAAAAATATCTTATTAACGACTAAGTGAAAAAGTGAAAAAGTTTACATTTACAGAAAGTACCCGAAATGATAACCATTGGTAATAATTCAATTTCTGTTAGGAGAAAAATTTTTTTCTCCTATTCTCATATTTCAAAGATGTTCAAGGTGACAATTATTCTCATCATATATATATTAACTATTTTATATATTAATACTTCTTAACGGAAAATTCCGCCCGACTGCAATATCTTCGTGAATTTTCTGTGCGGACAGCAAAATCGCTTTAAACACCTTGAGGATCAGTGTCCGCAAATGTTGGCTACACTGGGACATTAATTTGTGTCCCCGATCTTCAAAGTATTAAGCAATTGCAAAAATATAGCTTCGCTACGACGTATGCAGACTGAAATATACATATACAATGCGTGAAAAAAACCGATAACGATCGCTGAAATCCCCATGTTCGCATAAATTCGAAATCTGCTTATTAGGATGCAAATATTTGCGCAAGTCTGTCCGAACATTGCGTTTCTTTGACCTCGCTTCGAGCGCTCGGTGAAAATCGTCTTCGGTCTCTCACCGTCTAGAACGCACTTAAAATTTAAGACATCACCGTCGACCTCAACACGGTCCGGTTTACACGATTAAATAATTGTCCCGGATTTGTTAACGGTAACGTACAACGGGGAAACACATGGTACCACGAATCTATATCACGGAGAACAATGGAGAGAAGCGATCGAAGTAGTCCAAGCGTTGGCGGCTACTCTCCTCTGTTTAAGGTTGATCAAATTACACGTCGCTCGCAAGCTATTACCTTTACATAAATTAAATCTCCTTCAAAACTATTATTTTATTTCATTACTTTTTCTCGGTTTGCCCGATAAGGGGTACGAAAGGCGATTCTCATGAATTCTCGATAAAATCTAATTCGCCGATTTCTTTTTTTTTCGTGCAACGGAGCGTCCTAGATATTTTTCGTGAAACGCAAACAGCCAATGAGCACTGGACGATGACTCAATAATTCGCTCGTCTCTCTCTCTCTCTCTCTCTCTCTCTCCTTGTAAATTTAGTGAGATCGAATTTTTAATGAGATATGAGCGTGTGTTTCGTACCACTTCTGTGACACACATGTCACAAAAATTAACGCTGTTCGTGAAACCAAATTTGGAACGTGAGAAGAGTTAAACGTACTTCCGTGTATTCGGGAGACGCCAATAAGATCGCACGTCACTTACCGAAATAACTGGTCCATCGTAATATCCAAAAAGCCAGGAGAAGTTTGCCGATCATCTCACGTCTCTGGAACTATCCCGAAAGCCTCTTTAAAAGTCCACCATCATTGCGAGCGCTTAGGAATCCATCGTGCCACCACGGTGCATTCCACCAGGAAGACACGAGAAGGACTTCAACGAGCTTGTATCCCCGCGTTTCACGCGGCGGTGAGACCGGCAACAGGAAACAAGGAAGGGCTCTATCGGCTACGTGTCGACGGGAAAAAGACCGACGTCCTCCCCGCGATCTGGACAATTTTCTCTTTCCCTTACAAGGCCGGTCTCTCTCAGTCGCGATTATTCGCCTCTTTTGATACCTCGGCGTCGGGGAATCGCCATTGAAGGGTCCCTTCGCGAGCTTCCAGCGATAAATCAGTGCGCAGCGTAGCGATAAGGATGGATCGCGAATACTTTCATCATTCCGAGCATCCTCTCAAGACTATTCCGCGGGGCCAGAAGATATTGAATTATAGAGACGGCGGGACGGCACGAGCGTGCGACGCCGTCACGGTGTAAACTCGTCGACTCGATCGGCCGTCTGCTTTCTCCGTCGAGAGAGCCTCTCCTAGAAGCCTTTAAATTCTCCTCTTGCGCAAGTTCGCTGTTAAAGTCGTTCTTACAACCTGACGACGTCTTGGCGGCGTTTATAACGCGGATGCGATGACACTCGTGCACCTCGTGAGGCACCGGGATTCACGTTCGTTCCCCGTCGGCGAATCAGTACCGAAACGCGTCAATTTCGCGCGACGAAAGTCGCGGCGGTGCGACATCGATTTGATCTCGCGAACGACCCGGCGGTTCTTCGGAGACGAGAGAACGCTTCTCCCCTCTGTTCCTTTCCTTTCTTCTCTCTCTGCGCAATCGTTGATCGTCGACGAAAATTCGCGCGAGATCTCGATAAACGTCGTAATTTGATTTTCACGGCGCGATGCTCGATGCGCGTTTCGACGCGCGTTGGAACTGAAACGAGGAGAGAGAGAGCGAGCCGGTGTACGCGCAACGCCTGTGGAAGCGCGAGAGCTGCTGCCTCGTGGCCTACTATAACAGAACTGACTCCCACCGTGGTATTACACCGTCTCTTTACCTACCACGAGCGAACGTACGGTGTTTAAACGCCGTGTCTTGCGGTTCGGCCGTCGGTCCCTCCACTTCGTGAGTTCTTCACCAGCTCGCGAAGGCGACGGCGGCGGCGACGATGTCATTGGGGAATTGCATCCGGCAGTAAAGTAGTCAGGAAGGCCATATTGTAGAATTTCTAAAAAAAAAAGAAGAAATGATACATCAGAAACAAAATACAAGACTAATGCGGAATATACGATTAATATATTGTTACGCCCACCGCGTTCGTGCACAGTCGCGAAATTACAAAAATTATCTTTCATTAAGGCCGTTAATTAAATGCTCTAAATTAAACGTGGGGCTTTCAAAAACATGTATTTTCATTAGCCCCGTTTTATTTACAGTACTGTCAAAATTTCAGCTTGCAAAGCTAAACCGTCGACATTTGGTGGGCTCGATAATTAATTTGTGCAATCGTAATGGGAGTAATTAATCAGCACGCATAGAAACGATCAGATTGGCAGATGAAAAATTAGCGTAGTCGGTTATATGTACGTATACACGCGCGCATGTCTGCAATTCTTTATCTTGATCCCGTTCGCGTAACTGCATTGATCGGGAAGTCGAGCCTATACTGTTACTCTCGTAGATTACCGGAGATTACGTATGTAAAATTATCTATAAAAAAGAATAAGGACAGCTTCAACACGTAACAAGAATAACGTTTCCGCGATTAACCAGGCGAAACTTCTTTGCAACCGTTGATAAACGCTCGACTGCGGTGATTGCGAGGAGCGAAAACAATTTTCTCGGGCAAGACGCGTTGTCTAACCGTTGGAAAATGATGGGATGCTACTTACACACAAATTCATATTTGAAATCATACTGCCGATAAGAAAGATTAATTAAGAATTTTACACGAAACAGTGCTATTTTTGTTTGCTTCTCAACAATCCGGTATGTCTGTATGTAATACCGTTTCAGTCGAAAATGTTAAAATTCTTATCGACTAGACGATAATATGTCCTGCTCAATTTTCCCTGACGTCACCGCTTTGATATCTGATTCCATTGCATCGGCGAGCGATTAATAAAATCTGTTATAATAGAACACATCCTGCGTGCGAGTCACTTCGATGCTATCGCATGCTGAACGCGTTCCAGTGCTTTACAGGCGGCTCATTGTGTGGCTCATTGTTGCTTAACAAAGCCTAGCACAGTTTTCTCGCTTCTGTCGCAATGGTGATTTCACCGTGATCGAAAGTACTCGCAATTATGTTCTATCGACATGCCTACACATGCCTACATATTATATCATGTTTCTTCCATTCATCGAGAAGGTTCGATATGCTGGTAACGAATCTAGTTTGTGGGATAATCGGGCCGTGCTACGCGATATGAAGCTCAATAAGGAGAAATATATAAATGATTGGAGGAATTTTCAAGAAAAAATCTTTCGAGTGGTGAAGAAGAAAGGCTAATAGTTTCAAGTCGGCTCAGATTTCGAAAGATGGTTCAGACTTTTAATGAAAAAATATTGAAACGTCAAGAATGTCAGGAATTTTTTACAGTGGTAGTTTATTTATGCTGTGTATTAACATTAGAACCACTAGAAGGAACTTCTTTATCATAAAACAATATCATAAAGTTTAAAAAGACTGCAGATAATTACAAAAAAAGCGAATCAAAAGTGACTTGTCCGTGGTTTTAGGAGAGATCCAAATTGCCGCGGTTCTAGTATTAAAAAATTAAATGATTTAATTTATATAATGATTTCAAATTTGTCTGAATACCCGACTATGCTGTTGATATTATTCAAGTAACTTCGATGTCGTGATATAAGGATACGAAGTTTGGTAAATATGTATCTCTGGATATTATGAGAAATAGAAGCACACGCACAGTTAGTCATTCTCAATTTGTTGGCGAAAGCAGAGAAAATCAGCGGCGGATTAAAATATTTTAATGCAGCTAATTCGATGTTATTATCAATTTAATGCTATTGCGCACATTATTATTGTGTTTCCTGTAATAACAGAGATACATTATACAATAGTAGTGTGGAGAACATAAGTGGGCTTCTACACGTACTGGGAAGTCAAATAACGTATATGTTTAGATATTTATACGTAATCGCATATTTGCTGAAAGTCAGTAGGTCGCAGAGAGTCGAAAAGTGAGGTCAATTCACTTCACCGGAAGTAATTTGTAGAAATCCCTTGATTCTATATTGATTTGAAACTCTCAATCGAGGACTCGAGAGCGTCGTGCTTCCGCAAACATAATTAGGAGAAATTATTAAATCGCGACGCCGTAATTATTGAAATCGTGCCATGTTCCTGATTATAATTTTGAAATAGAGTGGATCACATAGGCTATTAAAAGTTTCTTGCAATTTAAATATCTTTTGTTTAAAGTGTTCTAAGGGGAAAGACTGTTGTAAAGAATAAAAAATCGTTTTCCTTTCAATCGTAATCTTTTAAGGTCCACATATCGATCCCCCATCGAAGTAAAATATTATAATTTATAAGATCGTTTTAACGGACGTTCCTGATGACAATTTTTTTGTCCAAATAAAACTGACCGTTGAGAAATACAATTTTCTAAATATATATAATTATGTATATTGAGCATTTAAAGTATATAAATGAGAAAATATTAAAATTGTCTTATTTAAAAACATTGATTTTCTGCTTGTTTATAACATAGTCGTTGAAGAAATATTATTCAGCGCGGCAGTTTTCCTTCAACTCATCACAGTTATTTAAAAAAATATGTTGAATATATTTTTCTTTTCTGAAGAAATTCCCCCCCCCCCCCCCCNTCTTTTACCGAGTGCACACACATAGATACACTGATTCTTTCTATGCTGTCTGAATCAGTCACTTTACTTTCTTCTTGCACCGTTACTTAATTGATCGTTCGAGTAAATATAGCTCGATATTATTTATACTATCGCGCTTTTATATAACGTTACTTAGCGTTCGCAAAGATCACGGAAAATCGTGGCTGTGTCCGGCTTTTTCCAATCGAACGGGTATGCGTACGAGAACGGTAATTAATCATATATAGCGATATTCGCGCCTGTTCCATCACTTTCGCTTGCCGCCCGCGACGACTGAGACTTTCAGTCGTAGCACGTCGTCGAAAGTTCATCCGCCGTTTCGTCCGGTAATTATTTACGGTTAGCGCGAGGACGAAAAGTGCGTGCCGACGTGCGGAGGCGAGAATCGGAGAAAGTCGTCACGGAGGAAATCGCTCTAAAACAAACGCGAGGAGCCCGTACCCTACGTACGTGCGAGCACGCTGCGGCCGAGCTTCTCTTGTCACGCGACATGCCGCAAAAATGAGGGAGCACGTGCGCTACTTGTGCAAAAATACGTTGCCGTCTAAAGACCAGTAATTACATCGTAAGTCGTGGTGTCACTCGAGTCACTGTAACGTATCAAACGCATACACAAACGAACTGACGTGGCGGACGTGACCGACAAGATACCACAAGAAGCCTTACGGGAGTTCGCGTGACCGTCAATATTTTGACAGCAATTAACCTGTAATCTATGAATTTTATGTTCTCTCTAGAAATCCGCCGAAGAAATATATGAGAGGGACTTTTACGAAGCCATGTTCACCTAAGTCGCGGTACACGAGCAGTCGGTATTTTTCAACGACCTTGAGAGTATTTTAACGCAAGTATTTCGCAGACGTATTTATTGCAACTTTTATGCTGACTCTATCGCGTCCGACTTATTCTCCAAACTGCGTCTCTTCAGATTTTCACTTATTTCGGTCGTCGCAATGCTATTATATTAAAAAAGTATAAACTCTTACCGAGGCGCACAGAATCGTAACCGTGAGCACCGGATTGCGAGGTATTCGTCTCGTCAAACAGCAACGAACGCATTACTTTGCTCGCACGGCACTGTGTTTCCGAACAAATGCAGCGGACACGAGTTGCGAGTATAAAAAGACATCGCGTTTAATCTCGCTCACAATTGATGCGCTAAAACAACAGTCGTCCGTCGCTTAATTCGACACTCCCAGCATTCATTTATTCGCGTACAAAATTCGCCACGAAGGATAACAACGTACAATATGTACGGAGCAATCGCAACTCGAGTTCAATCAGAAACGATATAACCTGTATAGACCTGCACGATATAACTGCAAGCCGAAGTGATCGCTCGCAGTACCGAAATCACTACGTGAGTTTTTGACGAATTATTTCAACTGTCCCCTGATAACATGGCAATCGGATAATTCGCGTTAATTCGTCAGCTTTTAACGGCATTGTTTACTTAGTTATTTAAAATATTAGTACTCGAGCACTTTGCCGCACATTACATATCGCACGCTGTTTAATAAATTAATGAATCGTTGGGATTGGGCGATTCGCCGCATTGAGTATGTTGGTGGTACACCGAAAACCGCGACATGTTCAGGTCGAACGCGGGAAGGACGCTGCGCGCTAAATCGACGTGCCGTTCCGCCGTGTTCCTCGCGATTTAGACTCGCCGAAAAGTGAGTCTCGTGTACGAATTACAGTCGTCGGGAGTGCCGAAAGTAGTGTCGCGCGTTCACCGTGTCAAATATTGCGAAAGAACTGCGAAACAACCGCCCGGGAGTGTCGAGCGAAGTGTCGCAAAGTTCGTTTGGTTACGCTCGGAGATCTCGTATCGCTGTTTCTTACTTTGATTCGCGAGAAGAGAGCCTCGACGCGAGATACCGTCGCCCGGAGAATGCCGGAAGCAAGTTCGGTGTGTTTGTCGTGGCGATGCACGCTTGAGAAGTCGCAAGAGTGAGTATCGCGCGAAACCGACCAAGGGATGCCGAGTGAAGTACGGCGCGTATCGATGCCTCGAAAATCGCAATTGACGGCGTCTCCAACGACAGTTACGGGACAGACCGCGACGCGACGGTTCGTATTCGTAGAGACGTCCCGTATTTCTCGCGGTTTCGGCTCGCCGAAGACGAGTCTCGCCCGCGAATCATCGTCGCCGGAACTGCCGAAAGTGAGCGTCGTGTGTGGATCGTCGTAAAATATCGCCCAATTACCGTCGTAGGCGAATATCCCGCACAGACTATCGGGAGCGCTGACCGTTACGTCGCATCGTACGATTGCGATCTAATGGCGGTTCGAAGTTGAAATCGGTGCTTCGCCCGTTTCCGACTCGTCGAAGGGCAGTCTCGCGCGCGAATCATCGTCGCCGGGAGTGCCGAAAGTAAGCGTCGCGCGTTCGTCGTGTTCGAAGTGCCGATAAACAGTCACCGGGAAAGCGAGTATCTCGTGGAGGAGACCGTTGGTGATGCCGAGCAATGTCGTGTCTTTGTCACGCACAGAGGTTCGAGCTGTCGCACTCTGTGTTTCGGGCACTCTAAAAATATCGGTAAGAATGAACGGAATACGATAATAGATAATGCGCTCGTCGCTCTTACGCGTCGAATTGCGTACAGAACGCGGCATGATAGTCTTAACACTTATTGAAGTTACTACGATATTCGACCGTATAACGGTTTTTACAACAAGGTTTATTTACGCAATGCATTGATCTGGCTAAAAAAAAAAGTAGACAATCCTGTATATGAGTACAAAGTGCAACTGAATTGGAAATAAATCAATGTGTGCACGTGTGAGATTGCTTTCGTGCTTAGTCCCAAGACACCTCTTCACACGTATTTGCTTGCAACATTCGATAAAATATTCTATGTGCATTCGTAGAACATTTGTGATAGTGTCATTCGAATATACCAAGAACATATTATAGGACATATACTATAGGACATAAATAGTGTCCTCAGCACATTCTATAAATGTACAAATATTCGTAACGAAAATATAGAACATTTATACAACATTCTTATGCTATCTGGGTTTGTATATAATGCCTGTGAATTTCAATCAAATACGAGGTGATCGATTTCTTCCGAATATAGGAAGAGAGATCATGTTGCTTGATACCGAGAGTCAAATCAATTCGTTCACATACCGCGCGTTACGTAGAAATTTCACTTGACCAACCATGCAACCCCCTCATCCGGACGTGAAAACAAGTTTATCCGAATGATTATTGCCAATTGAGAAAGGAATATTATTCGAAAGCGGCTTGCACCTGTAATCGATTCGATCTCCGTCGAGATGTAGTCTACTTTCTTTTTCAGGCAAGTTCAAGGTCGCTTCCAATGAGAATCGATGAAAGAAATTCTACTTATCATATTTTATAAAAGATACTTCTATATGTCGTGCTTAAGATACAATCTGCATATCAATTTGACCGGTTTTTGCACAGTATTTTGCACAGTACTTTCAACGACAAGACACTTGTGGAAGAAAAGGATTAATGATGCAACTACATTCTCATTGTGTCATTTATTCGTTGTTATCATACAGATTATGAACATTATTCATTTATATAATAATGTTTACATCATTACACAGTATCGGTGTCATAATGTAATGCCTATTTTATTCATAATTATATTTGTGCACAATTCATTCTTTTATATGATGATTATTGTATGAGATTAGATGTACTACCACTACATTTCATAGTATGTATATATTACAAATGTTTTTAGTAATAGTATTTACATCCGCTATTTCATATAATAAAACTCAGACTATGACAATTAAGATAATATAGAAAACCGCAAATATACAAAACAGGCTCTTTTCTTTGTAGATACAACAAAGAGATACTATTTCGTACTTTTACATAAATAACGTGTATAATTACAATTTCCTTACAATTTCAGAAACGCTAAAGTATTTCACTTTTTAAAATTGAGATATCTATTCTCATCGAAGCTGTCCTCAATCTCTTCATCTATCACTATTTTAGTTTTTGGTTTACGCATCATGAACCTAGCTTTTTGTTGCTCCTCCGTTAGTTCAGCAAGATTCAATGGAAGAATTATTATTTTTCGTGGTTCGTGATAGTCTATCTCTATACTGCTTCCATCTGAGAAAACAAGCGTTGTAGGATACGTTCGTTCGTATATTCTTCTGTGCTTCTTTGTGATTGCTGCCGTCCAGCAATTCAGGTTTCTGCTGAAAGCCGGTACAGAGCTGCCAATTCGTGCAAGAGAAGCGATACTCATTCTGGAATAAATATTTATATAGTTCATAGGTCATTAAAGCACTACTATACACAACATGCATATTAACATATATATATATATATATATATTTTTTTTATACATTTGTAACATATTAAGTAACAATACTAAGAATTCTAACACAATACATAGAGTAATTCTTTTTGTAATTGTACAGTTTTGAAATACAACTGTATTCTTACAAAATATACGATTAGACGATTGTGTCGTGTTCTCTTTTCCTAACATACAAAATATCATTAGAGAAGCAACAATACTTCATATCACATAAGTATCACATAGGTTATCTCGATCTCTTTAAACAACAGATGTGAAACGTTACGTAAGTCATTAGATCCTTTGATCACTCAAGATCACTGCAAAACTAGCTAATCGTTCTTTTTGTCTATTTGCAGAATACTGACGAGCAGCGTGAAATCACGAGGAAGCTTACCTGACTGTGCGACCGACGAGATAAACGACTTGACGCGACAACAAGCTCTGCGCAGGCTGAGCGAGACTATCACGTGATATTCTCGTGCGACGAATCGGCGGCCACGTGCGCTGTCGACAATCGAACTGCGATTATCGATGTGTCTCGTTTTTTTTAATTTGCGCGGCGCAGACGATACGAACATACATGGTGTTCAAGTGCTTTTTGCGTGTGAATACAATAATGAAATTCGATTAATTCAGCATGTTTCCACGAGAAGAACAGCGTCGTTATCAACAGCGCCAGGCGATATTCTTTCGACGGAGTTACATATATACATCGGAAGAGCGACAACAAGCGGCTCATGGTAAGTCAACTCAATATTTTCAATCGCAAATGCGATCGACGGTAGGTTTCTTGGCCGTTTGCATAATTCGATCCTTTTTTTTTTTGTTGTTTGTGCAATACGAGCGATCGAGCGTGTTGTTGGTCGATGAGGAGAAAAAAGTGCTTCCACTGCGACGAATATTATTTCTAAGCGTTCTGACTTGACGGTGATAAGCGACAGTGTATTTATGCGTTGCACGAGCCCTCGGGTTCCTCCTGACAATGGCCAGGTACCACGATATAATCTGTGCGATCCCTGTGGAAAGGAATTACGACAGATTTTAGGCACATTGACGAGTGACGGCGAAGTTAGAGATTCGTCGATCTCCCTTAGCCGCGTTCGAGAAACATTATATGTCCCTTGTTTACATAAAGAGTTTAAATAAAATATTGGATAATTAGCAGGGTTAGTTGAGTTAGAGATTTGAAATTAACTGGGGAAGCATGGCCGATTCTTCCGATATATGGCGAAGGGATAAGCTCCAGTAAATATTAATACTTTAATTTTTAGAGACTTACCGTTACGTCTTCTCATTAAACGTTACGTCTCATTAAAAAATTGTCCGGGAATATTTGTACATTTATTGTTCATCGGAGGATCAAAACTTCATAACTTGACGTCATGTCTTCGTACTTTCTAATTTTTTAATTCGTTTATTATTATTTGTTTATTTATTATGAACGTAATGTCACATAAAAAAAAATGTTACATAAAAAATAACAAGAATTGCAGTTACCATAACGGAACTTTTAAACAATTATACACAACGTTTATATGGCTTCTTTTGTAATTCAAAATAGAAGAACAAGCGTCTGTTCCCAGGTTAATAATGAAACACACACATTCGTTCAAACGGTGTATAAAACACACATGAAATCATGTCTATTGAACACCCAAATTCTTATTCGAAAGACCAAACTCTTTCAAATACATTTATATTAATTTATATTTATATTTAAAAACAAATAAATAAATAAAAAAAACAAGTTATATCTGAAATTGCCGCATAGTTTTTTCTATCGTGCAATTCGGAGGAAACTCGCAGCGATCCTCCGATCCAATGTGCAAATATAGCGCACCGTAATATAAACATAGAAACATGCTTCATGCGTATGATCGATTCTTATATTAATTAGCCTTATTATATAGGGGGATATATATTTCTGAAATTACACATTTTAAACAAATATAAAAAATATAAATAGGTATATATATATATATATATAGGATACAACGCGTATTATTTAAAATCTTATCTATGTGGAAAATGAAAAATCGTATGAGATAACGAAAGTTCAGCCACCAAGATAAATACTGGTTGCATAAAGCATGCGAACAGTTTTTATTGTAATGATATAAATAAAATCGGCCTTGTGACTTTAACACAAATTTTTATCTTTACAGAAAAAATCTATTTCATATATTTTTCTCCATGTTGCACTCTTTTAATAAAGCAGTACTTTTATTTTACATTCAGTGTTGCTGCATAATAAATGTGTCCTTTTGTGATTTATAATTTGTTGAATAATGTTGCTAAATACGTAATTCAGTCATATTCGATTCGCGTTACATTCTATTATTTATTCCAACTTTTTCATGTATGAAATTATTCCAATTTGTGTTAAAATTACTTATGATATATCATATAATGCCA